GAGCTGAGGCCTTATTCGCATAATCCAACAGTCACAAGTAGAAGGAAAGCCCAGAATTGTGTGAAGAAGTGGATGGGCCATATAAGTAGGGTGAGTATGAAACACACGACCCAATAGAAAGCCTAAAGAGTAGACCCAAAGGAAGCCAACAACAATTTTTAAATAGTATAGAAATGGAGCAGCGGAAAATGAACCCTCATTATCAGGGTGTCTAAAGTGATGAAGGACTGGTAGTTGAATTTTCCCACATTGATATGAGTAGAGCTGAAGCTTCCATTGAATTTCACATAGCCCTGCCTTCCCAAAAGGTGTCCTCATTGCTTAGGTCTTAACAACACTCCCGGCTGGACTCAAACCATGATAGTGCAGCGCGTAAACCCGATAAGCTAATCACTACGCTATATTACCACTAGCGCTCTTAGGTCGCAGGGTAGATGTGAATTTCAAAGAAGGCCAGGCATTTCCCATATCACATTCCTTGGTGGGATTGTCGATGAAGCAATGTTATATTTGCTATAACAATAGAATACATTACATATTTTTCGTTTATATGTAGGGTCTCGAGACTACAAGTAAATCAGTTATGTGAGCTGTATTCACCCTATTTGGTCCAAGGTAATGAAGGACTGGTAGTTGAATTTTCCCACAATGGTATAAGTAGAGCAGAAGCTTGCATTGAATTTCGCATAGCCTTGCTGTCCCAAAAGGTATCCTCATCCAAGATGGACTGCAGTTGCGACCTTGCCTAGGTCTTAGCAAGACCTCAGCAAAAGGAGTCATTCATCACAGATAAAATAGAGTGAATACATCTCATATAACTGATTTAATTTTAGTCTCGAAACCTTACTTGAAGACGGAAAATAATAAAGATGAGCCAGATGAAAGGAGATTTGGTCTGTAATAGAAGCAAATCAAGGAGAGATGGGTATAAAATTCATTGCCAAACCAAGTGATAATGAAAAGAGTGGTTGACCTACCTCCTGATCAAATGCACCATGTTGGTCCAAGGTTACGAGATTTTGCTCCAAAAGAGCAAGCCCAGCGGAGTAAAGCGAGGCCTCATCCAATTGAAGAACACCAAGAGCAACCCAGAAAAGAGGATTATGTGTCTCGGAGTCTGGTGGAAGCAAGGGCAGTAGGCGAGTCAGACAAAATATGACAGCTTCTATGAGATAAAGGTCTGTGTGGAGTAAAAAGTTTGAAGGGTTAGATAATGCGTTAGTACATGGGAGAATAAAAATGAAGTTCAAACCTAAGCTAAATATAGTCGTATTTGAGTAGGGTTTCGAGACTTCAATGGAAACGTCAGCTCAACACATATCATTGTGGGAAAATTCTACCAGTCCATTATCACCTAACACGAAATAAGGTGAATACATCTCATTACACTGATTTACTGGTAGTCTCGAAACCCTACTCAAATAC